TTTTTTTTTTTTTTTGGTGCCAGGGATTGAACTCGGGTCCTTGTGCTTTCGAGGCAGGCGGCGGAACCACTGAGCTAAATCCCCAGCCCTCAACTCTTAATTTTGTATTTCAGTGTCAGGAAATACTCAGATTTCTGAATATTTAAAATTAGTTTTTTCAGCCCAGTGTGGCAGCAGTCATCTGTAATCCCAGCACTGAGAAGGGTGAGGCCGGGGAAAAAACTGAGTGGAGGCCAGCCTGTGCTACATAGTGAGTTCAAGGCCAGGCTGAACTATATATACTAAGACCCTGTCTCAAAAAAATAAAAATAAAAGATAAAATTATGTTTATAAAAATCTTTCACACTACACAGTAATATAACTTTTACATTTGACCTAATACAAAATGCAACTGTAAGGGCTGGGGATTTAGCTCAGTGGTGCTACCGTCTGCCTTGCAAGCACAAGGTCCTGAGTTCGATCCCTGGTACCAAAAAAAAAACAACAAAAAAAAACTGTGTAACATTTTTTTTGACAATGGTGGGAATCGAACCTAGGGCGTGTTAAGCAAGTGGTCTACCACTGAGCTACACCCCCGTTCCCTGTGTGACACATTCAGCAAAACAGTACTATTGTGTGCACTGTGTGATGCTATGTTCTGTTCCATTTGATCTTTTAAAATGCTACTCTGGGACAGGGGATGTAGCTCAGCCGTACAGCACCTGCCTGGCAAGTGCAAGACCCTGAGTTTGATTCCTGGTACCAAAAAACCAAACAAACAAGAAAAACCCAAATGCTTGTGTAGGGGCCAGGAGGTGTATTGTAGTGGTACAATGCCTACGTAGCCTGTGTGAGGCCCTGGGTTCAATCCCCAGTACAAAAACCAATTAAACCACAGAATTAATATTTCTGTCCCACTATAGGTTAATGCTTGCTTTGAAAAATGCTTTTCTAAGCCAGGTGTGATGGTACACACCTGTAATCCCAGCACATTGGGTGACTGAGGCAAGGGAGTTGCAAATTCAATCCCAGCCTGGACAACTCAGCAAGACTGTTGTGTCAAAAAGAATAGGGACGTGGGGATTTAGCTCAGTGGTGCTGCTGCCTGCCTTGAAAGTGCAAGGTCCTGAGTTCGAACCTCAGTACAAAAAAAAAAAAAGATGGGAATGTAGCTCAGAACCATCCTGCCCCCCCCAAAAAAGAAAGAAAAGTGCCCCCCGTGCCTCCCCCGCAATCTGGGATGGAACTCAGGACCTTGTGCTTGCAAGGCAGGTGACGCTGAGCTAAATCCCCAGCCCTAAGAAAAGTGCTTTTCTGTAGGATAGGCAAGAACTTTAAAAAGCTGTTCCTTAGCTACCCCTTCACCCCTGCTGCGTTTGTAACTTTTTGCCTTCCAGGCTCTTACAGTTTTCATCCTGCCAGGGATGGTGGTGCAGGCACCCGTGATCTTGAGGCTGAGGCAGAAGGATTGCCAACCTGGGGTACATAGTTCAAGACCAGCTTGGACTACATAGGGAGACCCTGTCTCAAAAAACATAATAACTAATTAAAGAAATCAACCAATTACAAAAAAATTTCATCCTTGGCTTAGAAAGTTTTGGCAGTTTCCTTCTGTCTTTATCTTCATTCTCCCTCACTGTGAATTGAATCCAAGAGCTACATCACCAGCCCTTTTTTTTTTTTTTTTTAATTGAGGATCAAACTTGTGACCTTGGGGCCAGAACCACTGAACTAAAGCCCCAACCCCAGCCCTTTTAAAATTTTGTGACAGGGTCTCTAAGTTGCCTAGGCTGACCTTGTACTTGCTTCAGCCTCTGAAGTAGCTGTGTACCACTGTGGCCAGCTTCAATCTTAAGATCTCTGGTTGATGAAAGTTCCTGATTGGTGTGCCTCAGAGTTCCAGAATCATTTCACAGACTTTGTTCTTGTACCAATACACTGACTGAATCATGAGTGGATGTTCAATACAAAGAATAGTGTAGCAACTTAAATGATGTAGCTTAATCCCACAGAATGTGTTTGTATTGGCTGGGAATGTAGCTCAGTAGTAGAGCACTTGCCTAGCATTTGCAAAGCCATACATTTGATCCTAGCACCAAGAAAGAAAGAGTAAGTTAGCATATTGAAGGGAGCTGTGGAGGTATGGGCTGCTGTGGGGCACCTGACCTTTTGTGGGATAGCCCTGGTAGATCTGAAGTTTGGACTGTGTGGCCAAGTCTCCCTTTGCTCCCCCACACACACTCAGGGTGCTGGGGATTGAACCCAGGGCCTTTGCACTAAGCTATATCCTCAACTCCTTTTTTTTTTTGGTACAGGGAATCGAACTCACACCCTTGCGCTTGCCAGGCAGGTGCTGTACCATTAAACTACATCCCTGGCCCTTTTTTAATTTTTTAGTTTGAAACAGGGTCTTGTTTGGTTGCCCAGGGTAGGCTGGAACTTGAGGTCCTCCTACCCCGGCTTTCCAGAGTGCTGGGATTACACACATGCACTGCTATGGTTTCCCTTTATTTTTCTAAACTCTGGTGTGTGCCATCTTTTTTCATAGTGTTTGAAAGGATAGAAAAACCACAGTCGTGTTTCTTTGCCCTTCTCCATCTTTGTGATACAGTAATATTAAAGCTCTAACCATTAAAGATCAGAGCATTAAGTTTATCATGTTGCTACACCAGAACATGGCAAACGGCTCTTTGATAGAAGGTGGTAGATCAGCTTAAAAGGTGGATACTTGGAGTAGTGGCTGGAGTTCTTAGCAGTCCACACAGAAGCCAGTGAAGAGCAGAAAGATGGGGTTCTTACTCCTGCTTTGTTAATTTTTGCTGTGGTGATCCTCTGCACTGAGCTTCATCCCCAGTTTCTTTTTTTTTTTTTGAGGTAGGGTCTCAGTAAGTTTCCTAGGAAGAACTAAATTTACCGTCCTCCCTCAGTACTGTTATTACAGGCATGTGCCACCATACGTGGCTTCTACTTATTTTTTATTGCTATCTCTCAAAGGTGTAGAAAACATAAATGGGGCCGGGGATTTAGCTCAGTGGTTTCACCGCCTGCTGTGCAAGCGCAAGGACCCGAGTTCGATCCCTGGTACCAAAAACAAAAAACAAAACAAAACAAAAAGAAAACATAAATGCATTAACCTTTGATTTCTCTCAGCTTGTAGTATTGGGGATTGAACCCAAGGTTTTACACATGCTAGGCAAGTGCTCTACCGCTGAGCTATACCCACAGCTCCAATTTCTCACTTCTAATCCATAAAGTAATCTGTTTGTTGATAGGTGTGGAAAAACTTGAGAGCAAACTGGGCGTGGTGGCACACGCCTATAATTTGTACTTACAAGGCTGAGGCAGGAGGATCACTGCAAATTCACGGTCAGCCTGGAAGACACAGTGAGACCTCTCTCAAAAAAAACCCCAAAAAACAGAATACTTGATGACAAAGTAAGCATATTATGGAGAGAAACTATATTGGCTCCTTTTCTCCTCAGGTGAATGAGCTAAAGGAGAAGGGCAATAAGGCCCTGAGTGCTGGTAATATTGATGATGCCTTACAGTGCTACTCTGAAGCAATTAAGCTGGACCCCCACAACCATGTGCTCTATAGCAATCGTTCCGCAGCTTATGCCAAGAAAGGAGACTACCAGAAGGCTTATGAGGATGGCTGCAAAACTGTTGACCTGAAGCCTGACTGGGGCAAGGTAAGCTTGGGGGAGTCAGGGTCTTCAGATTTACCCCAGAAGTGCCTTGGGGTCATCTGGGGTACAGCACTTCCAGGCAGGCCCTCCTGACTTGCCTAGTTGTCTGTCCAAGTAGATTGATTATTTACCTACTTACCTTTCCCTGTGTGACTGTGCCCTTGGAAGTAATGATACTTTTTACCAAATCTGTTACCATCGGTTGTAATACAGGCCTTTTTTTTGTACTGGCAAGAATAAAAATGCTAAGCTGTATGTGGTGGCACATGGCTGTAACCCCAGCACTTGGGAGACTAAGGCAGGAACATTGTGAGTTCAGGGCCAGCCTGAGCTACATAATGACACCTTGTCTCATTAAAAAAAAAAAAAAAAAAATTATTTATTTATTTTTTTTTTTTTGAAAAAGTGCTGCCATAGTGACAGGCCTTGGTTTTCAGACAAGTCAGGATAGGGAAAGTGGTCTTTCGTATGTGGCAGGATCCACCCTTGGGGTTGTGTCCTCCTCCTCCCTGATTTCTCATCAGCCTTCATATGAATATACATTTTGATCCATAAAATGTAGAACATGTTTTTTAGTGTATCTGCATTACCTCTAAATGTCCTTTATTTTGTCTCTTTTTTTATGGGTTTAAGGGCTATTCGAGAAAAGCAGCAGCTCTTGAGTTCTTAAACCGATATGAAGAAGCCAAGCGAACCTATGAGGAGGGTTTAAAACATGAAGCAAATAACTCTCAGCTCAAAGAGGGTTTACAGAATATGGAGGCCCGGTTGGCAGGTAGGTACCACATAGCTATCTTCATTATTTTCCTAATGGGGTTGATTTTGAGCCAGCACCTCCCCCTCCCCATATTGCATAGGATATAAGGGCACCAGAATGCAAGTAAGCAGTGATGCACTTTGATTTATTTGGACAGAGAGGAAATTCATGAACCCTTTCAACATGCCCAACCTATATCAGAAGTTGGAGAACGATCCCAGGACAAGGTCACTGCTCAGTGATCCTACCTACCGGGAACTGATTGAGCAACTACGAAACAAGCCGTCCGACCTCGGCACGTAAGTAGAGGCAGCAAGTTGAGTCTGGAAATGTGTAGAAGGCCTGTGGCAGAGTTACCTGGCCAGGCTGCAGGGTTTGTGCCCTTGTGTTCTCCACTGAGTGGTAGGGATTTTAAGGATCGGGCAAGCAGTCATTTGAAATGTTCTAGTCTGCACAGGCCTCTTCACTGCTAGGCACCTAGAATTTTTATTTTAAGTGGTGCTGGGAATGGAACCCAGGGCCTTGTACAGAGCATGCTTTATGGAGGTGGGCTGTAAATCTTAAACTGGGGTTTGTCACTGAGTCCTTTGGCCCTTGAGGTTAGATAGTCAGGTATACCTGTGATGACTTATTCTGCATATCTGCCACCCTCAGGTAGCACTTCTGACCTCTGAGGCTTCATTTAGAGTTTTGAAGGGTTGAACATTCTCTAGGTGTAACCTAAATGGCAATTTAGCCATCAACAGATGGGTGAGGAACTTCTAGGCACAGGAATCTGATTGGTAGTAGTAAATGGGGGCTTAAGATCTGTTGTAGCAAGGAATAATTTTCTCTTTTTAAAAAAATGAATACTAGGAAACTACAGGACCCTCGGATCATGACCACACTCAGTGTTCTCCTTGGGGTTGATCTGGGCAGTATGGACGAGGAGGAAGAGGCTGCAACACCACCTCCTCCTCCTCCTTCCAAAAAGGAGACCAAGCCAGAGCCAATGGAAGAGGATCTTCCAGAGAATAAGAAACAGGTAACATTTTCCTTTTTCTTGTCCTGTTTATAAACAACTAAATGAACTAGAAATCTGTATGTTGAATGGGAACATGTATAGACCTCTCAGATAGCTGTGGTTATTTTTGAATGCTTAATATGCGCTGTGTCGCTGCTTGAGCCCAGGAGTGTGAGGGCCACCGAGGCAACATATAACAAGACTGTATTTAAAAAAAAAAAAAAAAAGTTATATAAAAATAACTTGGAAAATCAAAAAAAGAAAACTATTTCTGAGTCGAAACATCTCAGATGTTTTAGTACCCTCTCCATAGTCACCACAGCTGCTGCAGAGCTGTCAGCGTGAGAGCTGGGCAGGGCAAGAAACTCATGAGTGATCCAGAAGGGCAGGTCCTTAGGCTTCTGTTCTGCTTCCTGGCTGTATGTGGCATATGGTTGAAAGTTGTCCACTTAGCAACATTGTCTTCCAAAGCAGGAGGCATGTGCCTAAATGATTTTTTTCTCTTCTTGAAAACTCGAACAGCAGATTGTTGCCAAATTTAGTACCTTTTAATGGGTGAGTGTTGGTTGTTCAGGGTGTCTCAGCTGGAAAAGGGCCCTTAGTGTGGTTGGTAGTGAGCTGTGCTGAAGACTCCTGCTGCCACTCTGCCCCTTCTCCCATCTCTCACCGCCCCCTCTGCTGGCCTTCTAAGACTCAGACAGCCATGCAACAGGAACTGGGCTTTTGGCCATTTTCAGTAAACCTGGCTCAAAGTTGCACTGTTCTCACCAGTTGCCTTGAGTTAAAGGGGTTTCTTCTTAAAGAAGCCTTCTTAACTTTCCTGATAAAGACCCAGGATGGTAGGTAAAAAAGGAAGTTTCAGAGTATGCTAATAGATGGAGAGGACTTTGGCATGAAGAACTTGTTTCTCTATGGATGTTAAGTTTTTACCTATTTCATTACTGTGACAGATTGTAAGCTCTTGCTCTATTTGCTATCCGGGTTGGATTTGCCCAAGACTTGCTTCTTCTAAACCCCATCTAGGCACTGAAAGAAAAAGAGTTGGGGAATGATGCCTACAAGAAGAAAGACTTTGACACAGCGCTGAAGCATTACGACAGAGCCAAGGAACTGGACCCCACCAACATGACTTACATTACCAATCAAGCAGGTGAGGCTCAGAAACCAGGGGCAGTAAAGTTGTTAGGCATTGCTGAGGGACAAAGTGAGCACTGACTGTTTTTTTAACCATCCTGCCTGGCAGCGGTATACTTTGAAAAGGGCGACTATAATAAATGCCGGGAGCTTTGTGAGAAGGCCATCGAAGTGGGGAGAGAGAACCGGGAAGACTATCGACAGATTGCCAAGTATGCTTGACCTTGTGGAGTACCTTGAGTAGAGGGTTTGCTTTCCAAGGCTTAAATGTCTGTGTGGGGCGGAGGGTTGCTGACCACCAAACGTGCATATTAAAGAGGGGCTGGAAAGGAAGCCACTAGAGCCAAGACAAAGGTGTTGAAAGGGTGGAGTGCCTCAGCAGTGGTTCAGACCTTGTTTCTAGTTGCAGGTATAATTTCTCTGCAGGGGCCAACCTTGTGTCTGGCTCTGCTCTCAGCAAATTAATTCTCTTTTCTTTATCAGAGCTTATGCTCGAATTGGCAATTCTTACTTCAGAGAGGAAAAGTACAAGGATGCCATCCATTTCTACAACAAGTCTTTGGCAGAACACCGAACCCCAGATGTACTGAAGAAATGCCAGCAGGTGGGTCAGATAAGGATAAGAAGTGCTGTTTTTGCAGGTCTGGGGGTGAAATCCAGAGCTTCATGCATGCAAGGCAAATGCTGTACCCCGATTCAGTCCCCAGTGCCATTGTGTGTATACACACATACACACACACACACACACACACACACACACACACACACACACGGGAATGAGTAAGTAAAAGCTGGGATATAGCTCATTGCAGGGGCACTGGGTTCAAACCCTAGTACTGCAGAAAAGTAAACTCAGAGTTTGTTTAAATAGTGCTTTTGGCCATCTTACATGATTTTGGTTCTGTCAGTTCATGATGACATCATGTAGAAAATAACCTGGTGCTTTTGCAGTCTTTTGGAGGTGGGAGTAATGCTGGGGATTGAGCTCAGATCCTCAAGCATGCTAGGCAAGCTTTTCTACCATTGAACTATGTCCCCAGCCTTAATGTTTTTATTTGTTTATTTTTGAGACGGGGTCTTGCTATATAGCTGGCCTTGAGCTCACAGTGATCCTCCTGTCTAAGCCTCCTGAGTGCTGGGATTGCAAATGTGTGTCACCACGCCCAGCCTGCAGCCCTAGTGGTGAAGCCCCGCACAGCGGTACACACCTGCAATCCCAGCTAGTCAGGAGGATAGGGTCACTTGTGTTCTTGTGTTCAAGAGTTCAAGGGCAGCCTGGACAACATAGCAAAACCCCATCTCTAAAAATAAAAATTAAAAAATGGGTTAGAGGGCTGGGGATTTAGCTCAGTGGTTCTGGCGCCTGCCTTGCAACCTCAAGGTCCCGAGTTCGATCCCCAGTACCAAAAAAAAAAAATGGGTTAAAAAGTTAACTGCTATTGCTGGGCATGGTAGTGTATGCCTGTAATCCCAGCACCCAGGAGGCCGAAGCAGGAGGATTGCCATGAGTTTGAGGCTAGCCTGGGGTACATACTGAGTAAAGGAGTGGCTACACTACCTAGTGAGACCCCATGTCAAAAAAAAAAGAGGGCCAGGGATTTCGCTCAGTGGCACTGTGCCTGCCTCGAAAGTGCGCAAGGTCCTGAATTTGATCCCTGGTACCAAAAAAAGAAAAGAAAATTAACTGTGCTATCAAGTTAATTACATATCATTTTCGTGTAGGGCATGCTTTTGAATCATGTATAGCGCTGCTGTTCACTTTGTTTTGCTCTGTACCTTGCTAATGATATATGTAAAATTGTGTGTGTCTCTGTCTGTCTCCCTGTCCCTGGGATTGAACCAGGGCCTCAAGTGTGCTAAGCCACATATATTCTGTAGCACTGAGCTACTTCCTCAGCACAGGAATGTAAAATTCCTTAAGCAAAAGTAAATCTTGCCAGCAGGACTTTGAAAATTAGTATCTCTAATTAGGCTTTTCAGCCCACTATTTAAATGTTCATGGGAGTTTAAATTACTATTCCAAGAATCTTTTTTTCTTAGGCAGAGAAAATCCTGAAGGAGCAAGAGCGGCTGGCCTACATCAACCCTGACCTGGCTTTGGAGGAAAAGAACAAGGGCAATGAGTGTTTTCAGAAAGGTACCTCATCTTCCCTGTTGGGCCCCTTTGGATACTACTGTGTGGATGGCTTCCTGTGCCTGACTACAGGGTACATGTGGCCTAGAGCTCCAAAGAGGTGGCTTTTTGCTTTTCAAACAGTAGTCTTTGTTTTCCTTATCCAGGAGACTATCCCCAGGCCATGAAGCACTACACAGAAGCCATTAAACGGAACCCACGAGATGCCAAGCTGTACAGCAATCGAGCTGCCTGCTACACCAAACTACTGGAGTTCCAGCTGGCGCTCAAGGTGAGGAGCTTAGGCAGGTGGGGCCATTGATACATAAACCTCTGAGGACAGGGTGCCCCCCTCCCTGTTCCTTCTTGTTTTTTTTTCATTTGAAGGTTGATGATCTTTCCTTGATTCCAGATTAGATTCACAGAGGTGGTGCTTGTGTGTATTGAAAAACAGGGCCTATGTGCACCTGGCCTACTCTGTGGGGTTAGAAATTGAGAGTACTTGGGAAAGTGGATGCTTGCCACCTTCATTGAGGACTGTGTTGCTTTGTTCTCGTTGTTTATCTTTTTTGGGTTTTTTGGCCATACTGGGGATTGAACCGCAGGGTGCTCTACTACTCAGCTACATCCCTAGCTTTTGTTTTTTTGCTTTTTTAAAATTTATTTTTAATTTGAGGCTGTGTCTTGCCAAGCTACCTGGGTTGACTTGAACCTTGGCAGTCCTCCTGCCTCAGCCTCCCAGAGTGTTGCTTTTTAACCATTTTACGTGTACACTTGGTGGCATTAAGTATATTCACATCTTTGGGAAACAACTACAGGACTTTTTCACCTGCCTACACTGAAACATCCCCTGGTGACCACTGTTTCTGTTCTTTGAGTTGGACTGCCACAGGTACCTCAAGCATGGTCACTGCAGTATTTGTCCTTTTGGAACTGACCTGCTTGACTTTATATAATGTCTTCAAGTTTGATGTATGTCCCAGCATATGTCAGGGTTTCTTTCTTTTCTTTTCTTTTTTTTTTTTTTTTTGGTACCAGGGATTGAACTTGGGACCTTGTGCTTGCAAGGCAGGCGGTGGAACCACTGAGCTAAATCCCCAGCCCAGGGTTTCTTAAAGCCAAATAATATTCCATTATATTCACATGCCATGTTTTGTTGGTGTATTTGTCCATCTGTTGATGTTGGTTTGTTTCCACCTTTCAGGTTTTGTGCATAATGTTGCTGTTAAAATGGATGTACAAATAAATACCTGTTAATGTCCCTACTTTAAATTTTTTGGAGAATATGCGCAAAAGTAGAATTGCTAGATCAGTAGTTGTTTATAGTTTGTTGAACCATATTATTAGGATGACTATACTATGCTTCCTTACATTTTTTTTTTCCTTCCCCACTTTTTTAATGTTTAGTTCTATAGTTCAGTTATAGGCAGGTCTGCTAGCCTGTCATATACAGTATGGTCAAGTGTGACTGTGACACTGGAGATTTAATCCCCATCTTTATGAATATGATCCACTCTTATACCTCTCTGTGATGTGTTTGTTATTCTCTAGCAGACCAGCATACTGTGAGAAGGTGGCAAAATCTGATGGATCTAGAGATAAGTTCTGGGCCCATGTTGGTATTTGTGTTTTTGATTTTTTTTTTTTTTTTTGGTACTGGGGATCAAACTCGGGACCTTGCACTTGCAAGGCAGGCACCGGAACCACTGAGCTGAATCCCCAGCCCTTGGTCCCCTATGTTTTTGATTTCTTTTTTTTTTTCTTTTTTTGTTTTTGATTTCTTGAGACAGGGTCTTGCTTTTCTTCAGTTTGGCTTTGAACTCACTATATAGCCCTGGCTGTCATGTTCTCTTTCTCGCAAAACTAGAAGTGTTACCACCTTTTCTGTGTTTGTCATAAAATCAGGCTTGTGAAGAGTCAGGCTGTGGGATGGTGATCTATCTGGAGTTGTCTTTCCTGGGGCCAAACCCTGGCTTTCCCACTCTGTCTTCCTGCTTAACCCAGGGCCAGCACTGGCATGAGCGGCAGAGGCAAAAGCTAAAGCCTCTGGCACATCCGAGGACATGATCAAGTGGTTTGACTGAGTCCCTCTAAGGAAAGAGCCTAATTTCTTTCTGCTACTTCTTCCTAGGACTGTGAAGAATGTATCCAGCTGGAGCCAACCTTCAGTAAGTGCCTTTCCCCACCTCTCTCTATCCCCTACTCTGCCAAAAAATTGAGAGAAGTAAAGAGCAGGGACCTTGGCCTGTAGATCAGCAGGCACAGAGCTTGGGGAGCTGTGAGCGCTGTGTTTCAGATGGTGCCTCACCTCCTGTTTGTCCATAGTCAAAGGTTATACCCGGAAAGCCGCTGCCCTGGAAGCCATGAAGGACTACACAAAGGCCATGGATGTGTACCAGAAAGCACTGGACCTGGACTCTAGCTGTAAGGTGAGTTCTGCTGGCCTTCATGGGCCCACCCAGGCCTCTTTCGCCCTCAAGTCTTCCCTCTCCTTGCAGTTCCAGTCCTCCTCACTGGCTATTACCCTGAACTTTCTAGAGAAGTGAGCCAGGTAATGCTGACACTCTCCCTTTTGAATACAGGAGGCTGCAGATGGTTATCAGCGCTGTATGATGGCTCAGTACAACAGACATGACAACCCTGAGGATGTGAAGCGACGGGCCATGGCTGACCCTGAGGTGCAGCAGATAATGAGTGACCCAGCCATGCGACTTATCCTGGAGCAGATGCAGAAGGACCCCCAGGCGCTCAGCGAGTAAGCCAAGTTCAGGATAGCCTTTCAGAGAGTTGGCAGGGTGTGATTACCTAGGAAGGGTGGTGTAATCTTTCTTAAAACTGGAAGGATTGAGCCAAATGTGGTGGCACCATACCCATGATCCCAGTATTCTGGGAGGCTGAGGCAAGGAGATCACAAGTTCAAGCCCATCCTGAGCAGGTTAGTGACTTAGCAAGACCCTATTTCTAAAAAAAGGGCTGGGGAGCTGGACATGGTGGCACATACCTATAATTCTAGCACTCGGGAGGCTAAGGCAGAGGCCAGCCAGAACTACATGTGAGACCTTGTCTCAAAAAAAAAAAGAGAGGGGCTGGGGATATAACTTGGTACAAAGGCCCCTGGTTGAATCCCCAGTAGTCTGGGGGAAGGTGCATTGTGCATGAATTTCATTTACTTGTTGGTCCTGACAGCTTACACAATCGGTTGGAAAGACCGGTTTTGGAGGAGAAAGGTCTTGCCTCATGGCTTTCCATGCACACAGTAGGCCTGGCAGGTTCTGCACAGTAGAGAAGACCTTTGCCAGGTCTGCCTGGCACCTTCACCAGACCTCTTCCTGTACCCTGTCTAAGGCTCCTTGGGGTTTTGAGCTGGAGCTTGTTCTAGAAGCAAGGAATCTGTCTCTGGGGGCAAGTTTCATTCAGCTCACTTCACCTTTTCTGTTTTAGACACTTAAAGAACCCTGTAATAGCGCAGAAGATCCAGAAGCTGATGGATGTGGGTCTGATCGCAATTCGGTGATGACTCATCTCTTCCCTTTGCCCTCATGTGAAAAGACACTGGGATGGCGGCAAGCAGCACAGCAGAGGGAGAGGGGAGAAAGAACAGCTTATCTTTATATTTATACATGCCTACCTGGAAGACACAGACTTATACAGCCGCCGCCACAGGCCCTCCCAGCACACGCATGGTCTCTTCACTGCAGCCCTCAAGTTTCGTGTCTCCTTCCCCTATGCCCCAGTCGCTGTCTCAGCTACTCCCCCATAGTTGGTTATTTTTTATTTGGGGCAGTGGGCAATATGAGGAGGAGAGGGTGTTCTTCCCAACCTGGGGTCCCAGCTGTCTTCATATTGTTATCTCCACGTCCCCATCTCCAATAAAAAAAGCCAGTTGGACGTGGTTATATGTTACTGTGGCCTTTGAGTGATTTTTTTTTTCCCCCTCAAAGACTGACCTTTTTGTCTTACTGGACTGGGGGAAGTATTGAGTGTGAGCTCAGTGGGTTGGGTGTAAATGCTGCTGGGGTCCATGGCTTTGACAAAGGTGACCACTAGGTGGTGCTGTTATTCAGCAGAAGGGAACCTTCGTGAAAGTGCCCCTTGACCAAATAGCATCAGCTTCAGATCAATTTTATTTTGTTTGTTTGTTTATTTATTTGCTTGTTTATTTGTTTTTGGTACCGGGGATCAAACTCAGGACCTTGCAGTTGCGTGGCAGGTGGCGGAACCACTGAGCCCTCAGATCAATTTTAGAGTGATCCCCATACTGTTAACTCTCCATATTCCAGCCTCAAAATCAAAAACCAGGGCCAGGGCCAGGGCCAGAGATTTAGCTCAGTGGTTCCGGCGCCTGCCTTCTAAGTTCAAGGTCTCGAGTTCGATCCCCAGTACCAAAAAAAAAAAAAAATCCAGAGAATACTGGGTTCAACTAAGAAATGAATCATGAGAAAAAACTGACCTGTAGAGACCCACTTGTCCCTGTTAGGTGGAGTCATTTTTAGAAACTCCACTGTCCCCTGAGCTGACAGGGCTGAGCTTTATTCATACTTCATGCTTGCATCAGAGTGTTTCCTGAAGCCCTCTTCCCAGGCTGGGGAGGTATTTGGGCAGCAGTTAAACTTCCTCATTTGTCCCAAGAGTGTTGCTTTCTGGGTAGGCAAGATGCTGAGGCTAGCAGCAGGCCATATTTCCTGCTCTTCCGGGTTTGCATGAGCTGGTTTTTCCCTGGGAGTTGCCGCAGGCCTGCCCCGTGTGGGTGGCACAGTTCAAATAGCCTCACTTCCAGTGTCATCTGCTGTTGCTTGGGCTTTTGCCTCCCAGCCCAGTTGATGAACTCTGGAAAGTCTGAGTGTGCTCAGCCTTGCTCTGTGAAAGCTTATGTCCCAGGACAGAAGATAGGCAGAGGAATATTAGGCCACCAGAGATGGTCTGGTTGATGCCTGAGCAGGAGTGGTTCTGGGGGACGTGGGAAACAATGTGTCATGCTCGAAGTTGAGACCAGTGGGTCAAGGAAAAGGGTTGTGAGTGTTGGGGAGATCTGTTCTCTGAATACCTGGGCAGCAGTAAGACAAAATTTTGCCCTATTTGGGGGCAGGAAGAACTAAAGCACCGGGCCAGGGATTTAGCTCAGTGGTTTCACCGCCTGCTATGCAAGTGCAAAGACCCAAGTTCGATCCCCAGTACCAAAACCAAAACCAAAAAAAAAAAAAAGAACTAAAGCACCTTTCCTCCTGGGGCCTTCAAAGATCTTTGGTTGGCAGGGACAGTGGGGCTTATGCTGGTTTCACCTGCCAAGGCCCTAAAGGCCCAGGGTCCAGCCATTCCCTTTCCTGGCTGTCACTCCTATATCTGTGGCTGGTTTGTGACCCAGGGGACGCCTCACAACAGGCTGAAGATGAGAGGTGGTCCTAATGCTGACGGGTGCCCTGCGCACAAATGGTGGCTCCTCTACTTTGAACTAACAGGAAGGAGGCTGTGACTGTAGCATTGTACCCACAAGTCCTGTGCTCTCTTGCTTCCTGTGCTCCCTGGGGACAAAGGCAGGGCCCCACTGGAGCCTTCTGCTCACTGGCAGTGTGCTTCCTGCACCCAGTGCCCGCCCTGGGGCGGGGCCAGCCCGCCCTGACCCTGATAAGGCCACAAGGGCTGTCCTCTGAAGGAAGCTCAAAAAGAAAGCAGGCGAGGAAGCACTCAACCTCTGCAGGTGTGTAGCCTGAGGCCAGGAGTGGCTGGCAGTCTCCTCACCACCCACAGCCCCAGTTCTTGGCAGGCCAGGTAAGCTCCAGCCAGTGGCTCCAGACTGAGGACCCTTCTCTCCCCTGCCCCCAGAGCCTCTGCCCAGCGTCCCTCTTGCCCTGTCGCACGACAGCTGGCACTTTCTACTGCCGAAAGGCTCCAGTCAGCTAGGGTGCTTGGGTCTTCGCTAGGTTTGCCCTGCCAGTGAGAGTCTGGGGCTGAGGTGAGAAAGCAGCCTGGGTTGGGACCCAGCCCTGCACTGAGCAGGGTATTCTTGAGTGAGCCTCTTAGCTTGCCTTAGTCTCCTGTCTGTAGGATGGGAGTATGCTGGACAACATGGTCTCAGAGTCCCTTCAGCTCAAGCACCATAACAGTGAGAGGGTCACCCTGGCACCCCGAATCTTTTTTTTTTTTTGGTACCAGGGATCGAACTCGGGACCCTGCACTTTCGAGACAGATGCGGCGCCACTGAGCTAAATCCCCAGCCCCTGCACCCCAAATCTTGCTGCTGCCTGTGCATGCTGGCCTCTGGCCTGCTCCTTGCCTGCCGCCTGCCGCCTGCGTGGGGCACCATGGGGCTTGCTCACCTCCCTCACCCTCTCAGCAGAAGCAGCCACAGCCATGGCAGGGATGAAGACAGCCACTGGGGACTACATCGACTCATCCTGGGAGCTGCGGGTGTTTGTGGGTGAGGAGGACCCTGAGGCTGAGTCGGTCACCCTCCGAGTCACCGGGGAGTCACACATTGGCGGTGTGCTCCTGAAGATCGTGGAGGAGATCAGTGAGTGTCCTGCTGCCCCCACTTCCCCAGCTTGGCACCCAGGCGGCTGCCACAGTGTCCTCCAGTACTTCCGGGCCACCCCTGCTGCACAGCTCGCGATAACCATGTCACAATGACTCAGGCATCTCTTCTTTATCATTTAGTTCCAAAAAAGACATTTCCCCAGCTTCCCCTCCTTCCTATACCCCTCCCTTCCTCCCACTCCAGCTGCTTCTGCTGAGCCCCCTCGGGCAGATGGCCACTCACCCATTTTTCATTTTGGGATGAGGAGGCAGTACTGGAGATTGAACCCAGGGTCTTGACACTGAGCTACTACATCCCCATCCCTTTTCTTAATGTTATTTTTTGAGGACCAGGGACGTAGCTCAGTGGCGCTGCGCCTGCCTGGCAAGCCCAAAGTCGAGTTTGATCCCCGGTACCAGAAAAAAAAAAAGGATTTTTTGAGACCAGGTTTCATTAAATCACTAAATTTCCCAAGCTAGGCTCAAACTTTCTATCCTCCTGCCTCAACCTCCCAGAGTACTAGAATTACAGATGTGCACCACCACACCCAGCCTCTATTTACCCACTGATAAGGGCAGAAGGGGAGGTTTTGCCTGGGGAGGCCAAGGTCAAGTTTGTTCCTGAGGTATGAGAGAGGGTTAAGGGCTCCTGTTGACCTGGGGCCGGCTCCACACTTCCTCCCAGGTGAAGCCCTCAGCGGCTGGTAACAGGCCCCATCTGAGTGGGATGGCCCTGCCCCTGCCCCTGCCCCTGCCCCCACAGGAAGTTACAGCAGAGCAAACTGCGGTCTCAGTCATGGCAGCTAGACACAGGCCCAGGGATATGAGGACTTCTCATCATCCTGCCCTGTCTGATGGAGGCTGCCCTTCCTGGGAGGGCAGCAGGAGTACTCCAATAGCCAGGCCAGAGGGCAGGCCACAAGAATCTGGTCAGGAGTGTAAGGCCTGGGCCTTCCAGGGGAGACTGCCTCAGACCCAGCCAGCTGCCATGTGCAGCCCAGGAGGGCTGTCAGCATAACCCCATGGTAGCACAGCCCCAGAGCCCAAGCAGGGAGGAAGCCTCCAGAGGCAGGACCTAAAGAGGCTGTGAAAGCAGAAGTGGGGAGCAGAGGCTCCCTGGGGAGACTAGGTGTCAGACCAACTCTCGGCAGGCCTGGGTTAAGGCAGGACATGAGGGGGCCTGAGAACCAGGTTGTCCACAGGGCACAGCTTGTGAGTATTCCACCGCTGATGGGCCTGGGACTTGGCAGCTCACTGCCCCTGCAGTGAGGATATTGCCCCCACCCACCTGACTCCTAAGTGTGTCTAATGTGGGCTGTCTCCTGGTGCATGACTGGCTGGTGAAGCTGGACCCTTCCTGCCTGGCCCAGTGCTCTATGCCAGCTGCCACAGGAAAGCCACCATAGGGCCCTAGAGCCCTGGAAAGGACACTTCCCAGGAGAGGCTGCTTAAGACAAGTCCTGAGAGGTGGGGACAGTAAGGAGGAGCTGGGCAGCAATGGTGGGGGACAGGGATTCTCTGGGTTAGGGCTGCTGGACATAACAAGACACCGGCCTTGAGGCCTCAACAGGAGCCTAGACCTCCCCTTCAAAGTGCCCAGCATTTTCAGCAGGATAGGCCATGTTGCAGTGGATCTTTTTATTTGCGGGGGGGGGGGTGAGATAGTGTCTCACTATCTAGTTCAGGCTGGTCTTGAACTCACTAGCCCAGGCTGCCCTTGAACTTGCAGTAATTCTCCTGCCTCAGCCTCCCAAATGTTGAGATTATAGGCATATGCCACTAGTCCAGCTGCAGTGGACCTTTGGGCTGAGACCTTGTGCAGCCAGTGGGGCTGGAGTGAAGGCAGGGAGGCCCCGAGGAGGCCATCTGAGTTATCCTGCGGAGAGGAGACAAGGCTTCCAGAGGTGAGACAGAATGGATGGAGAGAAGGTGATTTGGGAGGACGCCGATTCAAGGTGAAAAGCATGGTGCTCGGAACTCTAGAACAGTCCTTGTCACACAGCCCCCAGGCTGGTGTGGAGGGGCTCCCTGGGGAGGAGGGGCACCTCTGTCCAGAACAGTCTGAGCAGAGCGCTTCAAAGACTGGGACTAGGAGCCACTGTGGCTATTGTCCCAGTGCTGGGCACATGGCTGGGTGAACGGAGGTGTCAGGAATATAGGACGCTGGAGACCTGACCTAGCCGGTGCCATGTGGGCCTGGCCAGGGCTCAGGGAAGGGTCTGGAGCAGAGGTCAGTGCTATGGGTGCTCCAGGAAGAGGGTCCCTGACTGCACCTGGGGAAAGACTAGAAGGGCCAGGTCAGAAGAGAAGTCCGAAGAGGACAGGGCCAAAGCAGAGTCAAGAGAGGAAGAGGGGAGGCAGCCCAGAGTGAGGGCACAGGAAGGAGGGGGTGAACCTGGGGAGAAGTGAGCCAGATGCAAAAAGGTTTCTCCCAGGTTGGGCCACACAGGGACAGTAGGAAGGATGGAGGAGTGAGTGGGAATGGGGATCTAGACAACCCCCAAGGAGGGCCTGGCAAAACCCCAGAAAGATGGGCTCTGCACACCCAGACGGACAGCACACCCACAGCAGCTTCCCATCATGCTTTGCTTCCAAGCTCAACTCCTGCCGCCTGCAGGGAGGACAGAAGAAGTTGTGTCATCCACTCCTGTGTCCAATTCCTAGCTGAATGTTGAGTGATGGATTCATATTTTCAGCTGTGTATGGTTGTGTGTGCATACATGTCACCAACACGTGGCACTTATCAGGTAGCAGGGGGCATGGGTCATGTTACAAACAGGAAAATTGAAGCCCAGCCAGGAATGGCAGTGCATACCTGTAATTCTAGCACCCTGGGAGGCTGAGGCAGGAGGATGGCAGTTCGTTTGAGGCTGGCCTAAACTACGTAATGTGAGACACTATGTCCAAAAAAAAGACTTGAGATGTAGCTCAGTGTGAAGGTCTTTAGTTCAATTCCACTGCTAGAAATAAGAAAGGAAGAAAGGAAGGGAAGAAGGAAGGAAGGAAAAGGAAGGGTGGGAGAAAGGAAACAGGCCCAGAGAGGTTAAGCACTTTGTCCAAGTTTTTACAGGGAGTCACAGTAGATGTTTAGAGTGCTTGCTGGACAAACCCCAGGCCCTGAAGATATACAAAGTATAGTATCTGCCTCCTAAAGTGCCAGGTATATTCAGGGAGCCCACTGGGCTGGCTGAGGTGCATAAGGTGGGGTCACCAAGCTTGGGGCATTCAGATTCTGGGTTTGGAGCCGAGCATGGTGGCACAGGCCTGTAATCCCAGCACTTTCAAGGCTGAGGCAGGAGGATCACTGTGAATTTGAGACCAGCCTGATCTACAAAGTGAGACTTTGTCTCAAAAACAAACAAACAAACAGGTTCTGGATTGGGGACCCCCAGGAAGTGATATAAAGACTAGCCAAGGGCCATTCCCCTGTCCTCTTGGAGGTGGCCCTAGCCCTCAGCTTGGGGACCTGGACAGGGCCCACCAAGAAATGGTGTACACTGTGACCCCCACAGATCGAAAGCAGGACTGGTCGGACCATGCTATTTGGTGGGAGCAGAAAAGGCAGTGGCTGCTGCAGACACACTGGACGCTGGACAAGTATGGGATCCTGGCTGATGCCCGCCTCTTCTTCGGGCCACAGCACCGGCCGGTCACCCTGAGGCTGCCCAACCGCCGCACACTGTGCCTGCGTGCCAGCTTTTCCAAGCCCCTCTTCAAGGCCGTAGCCGACATATGCCGCCTCCTCAGTGAGTAGCCCACCTGGAAGGCCTCTGCAAGGGGCAGGTCCCCTCCTTTCCCAGGCCCAGCCCCTGTCAACCTTGGTCCCTGACCCTGCCTCCGAGTGCCCAGGAGCAAGGTGAAGTCATGGTAGGAGCTCCCCACAGGTATCCGGCACCCTGAGGAGCTGTCTCTGTTGCGGGCTCCTGAGAAGAAGGAGAAGAAGAAGAAAGAGAAGGAGCCAGAGGAAGAGGTGTTTGACCTGACCAAGGTCGTCCTGGCTGGCGGTGAGCATGGGCCAAGCAGGGCATCCAGGAGGCCCGGCCTGGACAGGCCTGCTGACCCTGCTGTCCCTCAGGTGTGGCACCAGTGCTCTTCCGGGGGATGCCGGCGCACTTCTCTGACAGCGAGCACACCGAGGCCTGCTTCCGCATGCTCAGCCGCCCTGGCCCATCACCTGACCCCGGGCTGCTGCAGCGCCTACCTCGGCCCGGCTCCCTGGCCGACAAGACACAGCTGCACAGCAGGTGGGTGCTGCCACCTTCCCCATGCCCGCTGGGTCCACCTTGCACACCCCTGACTCTGGCTTCACCACCCCCAGGTGGCTGGACTCATCTCGGTGCCTCATGCAGCAGGGTGTCAAAGCTGGGGACATACTCTGGCTGCGCTTCAAGTACTACAGCTTCTTCGACTTGGATCCCAAGGTGGGCTGGGCACAGGGGGATCTGGGGGCCAGGGCCTTGAGACAGGGAGGCCTGGCAGTCAGAGTCTGGGCTCTCCCGGTGGGAGAGCCTCTGGCCTGGGCTCCAGGACACTCCCTGGAGGGGTGGCAGTAAGGATGGGCTCTGGCCACCTCCTGTGCAATCTCTCCATGGCCTTGCAGCCTGCAAACCAACTTCTGTGCACCCTCTGTATCTACAGAGCCCTTTCTGGGGCACTCTGCCTCCTCTCCTGGGCTTCTGTGGCTGCCCTTTGGCCCTCCCTCACCCCTTGGCCAAACCTACCCTGGTGACATCTGTCCCTGTCCATATAGAAGTACATCTGTGGAGGTGGCCGTCTGTCATCTGTCCTGTGTTCCTTCCCACCCACGTCTTCTTGGCCACTTGAGACCCAGACACAAGTGACCACCCTTCCTGTGAGAAGAATTATCTTCCTCTCCCAAGTGTCTGTGGTCCACTCATTTCCGCGTCTGTCTCTCCCAGGTTTCTATCCAGCATTTTGGCTCTCATTGCTCCTCTCCACGGCCTCCATCCTGGGGCTCCTTCTTTCTCCCAGAATGTTTGAGTCTCATGGCTTCAAACGTCACCCATGCTCTTTAGGACTCCTAATTTATAACCTCCAACCCAGCCTGCCCAGGGTCCCCTCCTACTCTTCCTGCATCCCTTGCAAAATCCCTGTACTTAAGGAGTTCCAGGTTCTTCCCCAGCCGGCCCACCCGATGCTGCTTAGAATCAAACCCTGAATCCCCCGCTCTTCCATGTTCCACCCATGGGCACCTCTCCAGCAGGTGCTGCAGCCTCTCCTTCTGGGCCTCCTCTCATGGCTGCTCAGCCTTGGAATGAATGTTTGCAAAAGTTCTTCTGGGCCTATTACCCTATTTAAAGGGCTCCTGTGGCTGCTGAGGTCCCTTCCATGGCCACAGGCCCTGCCAGCCCTGTCCCTGAGCCCTTCTCTGTCCTGGCCACTGCCTTCCTCTTATGCTGGCCTCTCTACTCCTTCCATATCCTGTGCCCCTGCTCTTCCTGGGGCCTTTGTTGTCCTTTTTTTCCCAGTCTTCTCTTGGATTGAGTAATTTTTACGATTCCTTTTTATCTCCTTTGGTTTGATTTATTAGCTTTTCTTTTTTGTTTGTTTTTTTTTGAGACAGGGTCTCACTAGACAGGCTGGCCTTGAACTTACTATGTAGCTAAGGCTGGCTTCTCGGTGATCCTCCTGTCTCAGCCTCCCAAGTGGTGGGATTAATAGGCATTCATGGGTAGTTTAAGAATTTAAAATCCTTGGGCCAGGGATTTAGCTTAGTGGCACTGCCTGCCTGCCTTGCAAGCGCAAGCACAAGGTCATGAGTTTGATCCCCTCCCCCGTACCAAAAAAAAAATTTAAAATCCAGTGGGTATGGTGCTCCTTGCCTGTAATTTCAGCACTTTGGGAGGCTGAGGCAGAAGGATCACAAGTTCCAGCCCAATCTGGGAAATTTAGTGATTTAGTGAAACCCCATCTCAAAATAAAAATATAGGGTTGGGGATTTAGCTCAGTGGTTCCGCTGCCTGCCCCTCAAGCACAAGGACCAGAGTTGGATCCCCGGTACAAAAAACCCAAAAAACCCAAAAACAAAAAAATAAAAATATAAATAAGGGCTGGGGATGTAGCTCAGTGCAAAGCACCTGAGTTCAATCCCCAGTACTGAAAAAATAAAATTAGAAAAGGCAGGAAGTCTGATTAAACGTGAATTACAGATAAAGAACAAATAACATTTTAGAATGTGTCCCAAATATTGCACAGAACACACTTACACTTCATGTGCCCTCCCTGCCTTGGTGTGCGGCTTCCTGCACTTGGCTCTGAGGCTGGCAGGCCCAGTGTAGGTTACTACCATCCTTGCCGTGCTGAGCACAATGGGAGCTGTACTGAGGAGCAGTTTCCACACACAGCCCACCCCTGAGCATCCACAGTGTAGGATTTTGGGAGTGTTCACAGAGTTGCCTCCATGAACCTTTAGGACGTTTTCACCACCCCACTCCCAGCAGAGTCACTCCTCATTACCTCTTTTTTTTTTTTTTTTTTTTTTCAGAACTGGGAATTGAATCCAGGGTGCACTGAGCTATATCCCTGGCCCTTTTCTCTTTTTTATTTTGAGACAGGATCTCAGTAAGTTGCTGAGTTGCCTAGGTTGGATTCAAATTTGCAATCTTCCCGCCTCAGCCTTCCATGTGTTGGCATTAAAGACATGTACCGCCACGCCTGGCCTTAGGTTTTGTTTGTTTTGCTTTTTTGGCCTTAGTTTTAAACAATTTCCTTACCATGTGTCTTTGGTTTGCTGTGGTTTCTTATGTGTATGGTACATTGAACTTCTTTAACCTATATGTTTACAGATTTCATTAAAATTGGAAAATGTTGGGTTGTGACTTTTTCACATACTTTTCTGTCCCCCTCTTTTTTGGGGACTCCAGTTACATTACTATTGGACTGCAGCTCACTGATTGTCTGCTCATTTTTTTGGTCCTATTTTTCTGTTTCATTTTAGTCTTTTTTTTTTTTTTTTTTTTTTTTTTTTTTTTTTTTTTTTTTTTTTTTTTTTTTTTTTTTTTTTTTTTTTTTTTTGGTACCGGGGATCGAACTTGGATCCTTGTGCTTGCGAGGCAGGTGGTGGAACCACTGAGCTAAATCCCTGGCCCGTCTTTTGGTTTTTTTGAGACAGGGTCTCACTGTGTAGTCCAGGCTGGCCTGGAACTCAAGAGTGCTGGGATTACAGGTGTGCACTACCACACCCAGTTTACAGATTAATTTTTCTTCTGCCAATGTGTAATCTGCCACAAATTCCATGTCTAGAAGTTCAAAATTGAAGGATTTTTTTTTTTTTCTCAGTGCTAGGGGAAAAATTCTGGGCCTCATGGCCATTAGACTAATGCTCTACCACTGAGCTGCATCCATAGCCCTAGAAGGTCAGGTTTTTTTCCTCGCAATGCTACTGGGTATTGAACCCAGGGCCTTTGCACTGAGCTACATCCCTGGGCCTCTTTTATTTTGAGGCAGGGTCTCGCTAAGTCACTAAATTACTCAGGCTGGGCTCAAACTTTGATCCTCCTGCCTCAGCCTCTCAGAGTACTGTGATTATAGTGTGGGCCACTATATTGTCCTAGCAAGTTTATAACAAGAACTGCATTCCCAACCCAAGCTGTTACATTTTCATTTGTTTCTAGTAAATGTCTGTCTACAATAGTGAGACCCCAGAAGGCTACCTGGACATTCTTTGTGTGGCTGTGTTTGTGGGAGGGCCTTTGTCAGTGGCATGTTCCCTGCCCCAGTTCTCCTTAACTTGATTTTTTCTTTTTTTTTTTTTTCTTTGCTATGGGGATCGAGCTCAGGTCCTTGCGCTTGCACAGCAGCTGGCAAAACCACTGAGCTAAATCCCTGGCCCCAGTTCTTCTTAACTCTAGGGATTGTAAAGGTTTTTTTTGGTACTGGGGATCAAACTCAGGACCTTGTGCTTGCTAGGCAGATGCTGTGCTGCTGAGCTACATCCCTGGCCACATTGTAAATTTTTATTCCAGTATTTACTTCCCTTTTTTAAAGACAAGGTCTTGCTATGTAGCACGGCTTGCCATAAACTGGCCTGTGATCCTCCAGCCTTAGCCTTTTTAGTGCTGGGATCACAGTCGTGTGCCACTTTGCCTGGTTTTATTCTTTTTTTTTTGGTACTGGGGATTGAACTCGGGACCTTGTGATTTCGAGGCAGGCATCGGAACCACTGAGCTAAATCCCCGGCCCCTAATTTTTATTTCTATATAACATGCTTCTATTTCTGTTTCTTTTTTCTTCCTTTCCCTTTTCTTTCTGCCTTTTTTTAGAGACAAGGTCTTTTACTATGTTACCCAGGCTGGCCTCAAACTTCTGAGCTCCAGTCATTCTCCTTCCTCAGCTTCCTAAATGGCTGAGACTACAAACTATTGCTCTGGTTTTCTATTTCTTGCTTTTGGAATTTCACACATTAGCTATTGACTTTGTAGGAAAGATGATTGCATAGCTGTTTTACACTGTCCCTCTCCTACATAGCATACACATTTCTTTGTATCTTTTTAGTTGAACAGTGTTTATAGTCTTAGGTTGAAACAACATGACAGCTGGATGTGGGCACACCCCTATAATCCCAGCACTTGGGAGGCAAGAGGATCTATATGAGTTCAAGGCCAGCCTGAATTACAGAGTGAGATCCTATCTCAACAAACTAACAAACAAACAACATAAATAAATAAAACATGACTATGGCTATAAATAGCAGCATATATAAATAGCATTCTAGGAGGGCTGGGGATTTAGCTCAGTGGCACCACACCTGCATCACATGCACAAGGTCCTGTGTTTGATCCTTGGTACCAGAAAAAAAAAAAAAGCATTCTAGGGAAACCTAGAATAGTTATCCTTATATATGTCCTTATATCTTTTTTTTTTTTTTTTTTGTGGTGCTCGGGATTGGATTGAACTCAGGGCCCTCACACTGAGCTACAGCCCTTTCTAAAAAAAAACATTTTTTTTTTTGAGTCAGGGTCTTACCATGTAGTCTAGGCTGGCCTCCAACTTGACATGATCCTCCTGCATCAACCTTCTGAGTACAGGTATTACGGGTGTGTGCCACCACATCTGGCTCTAAAATTAGTTAAAGTTTTGAGGCAAGGCTTCATTATCTCACCCAGGGTGTGCTGGGACTTTCTATCCTCCTGCATCAGCCTCCTTTGTAGCTGGGTTTATAGGTGTGAGCCAAACATTGAGCTACATTCCCAGCCCAAACTGTTCCGTTTCACTGATCACTAGTAAGCACCCTTCTGCCCCCGTGGGCAGTGTGCAGAAAGCTGTCTGGATATTCAATGGGGCCTACACTGTGACGGGCAGATGCCTCGCAGAGCCCACCATGGGCTCCTTCCATAGTGGTGACCACACTGGCACATCAGGCAGGGTCTTTCCTTCTTGGAACCTGGGACTGCTTACAATC